ATATCATAATGTACTTATTTCAGTTGATTTGATGAGAATCGCAAAGAGGGTATATATGTAGCTTTGCTAAATTCTGTGTACTTTTCATTATTAAATATTGTACTCTGCAAACCAAGGATCACAACCTTAAACTCTCCCTTCAGAAGTAGTCAAATTCTAGCTCTCTAACTGTCCTTAGTCTAATATAGTTGTTTTTCTGTCTACTGGATTAAAGTCATCAGTATTACATGGTGTACATGGTGCTCCACACGGATGACCACAGTAGTGATCGAGTACTTTGTTTTTTGACTTTATAAAGCAAGTCCTCAGAAGCACAGTTTTTTACTCTTCATCTTTCCAAAGAGAACTGAAGCTTGGTAAACTAACTTGCCCAGAGTGTTAGCTAGCTAATGATGTTCTAAGGACATAAACCTAGGCAATCTGAATGCCAACTCAATTACAGTATGTCTTTTCTTGGTTATGTCATATCATGTTTTGTACTTTTTTACTAAAATGTAGGCTCTAAGAGAGAATAAAATGTGTTCTGTACACTGCTGTAGTACTACTACCTTGAGCAGGGCTTGAACTGAGGGGAACAAGTAGAGCTGTTGGTTTGTTTCTGCTTCTCTTACAAAATACCATAGATCATACCTTGTATGAATGTTGGGAAGTTTAAGGTTAAAATGCCAGCAGATTCAGCATCTAGGAAAGTTGTGCTCTTTTCTTCCACGTTGGCACCGTCTCACTGTATTCTCCCAGGGTGGAAAGGAAAGAGAGAGAAGTGCTGGGATCTCATGTGCTGGAAAGGATGGAAGGGCCCAGCAGGTCTCTGGGACCTCTTTCATCTTTTAAATGTTTATCTGTTTATTTATTTTAATTTATTATACTGATATTTTATTGAAGTAAAGCACACTAAGGCAAACCAATTACAAAAATACATGTGTCATACCAAGGAAACATTTTCAGTTATATTGATAACCCCGCACTCTTTCCATTTTTCAGAGACAGTTTTAATGCCATAGAAGCATTGCTTATGACTTTAAAATGAAGAAAGTAAGATATAGTGCCATATTAAAGGGCATTAATCTCTTTCACCAGGGTGGATCTCTCATAACTTAATCTCATCCCCAAAGCCTCCACCTCCAATAGCACCCATACAAAGGGGATTTATTTCCAGCAAGAATTTTTGAGGGAACCACACATTCAAATATAGCCAGTCTTTGCCCCTTCCTGATTCTGAATGGCAGAAGCCATCAGTTCCTTCCATGCTCGAGGTCTGAGCACATTGAAACTTTTACGTATCCAGGCCAAACTAGGAAGGACTTTGAGAAGGAAGACAAGGAATTTCTTCCTACCAGTTCCAGCCTTCTGTCTTGGGATGTGCACTGGACACCAGTTTAGTTGCAGAAATAGCCCTGAAGGAAAAATAATTTCATGTGAGCTAATCATTCAACTCCTAATGTCTAAAAATTGATTATTTTCTTAGTTCTCTACCCCTGTAATATTCCTGTTCTACTGAATATGTTTATGTGAGATAATTTTCTAGGAAATTTATTCATCCACTCAGTAACCTTTATGTCCCATTGACATTTTACTTCCCTTGATTCTGGAATTTCGAAGGATATTTTTGTTACTGTGAAAGAGTTTTGAAAAAGACAAATAGGAACACTCCAAGATCAAGAAATAAAGAATAACACTATAATCATAACATCTCATTATTTTTGTTTTAAAACTTGATCTTTCCTAAGGTTATTATCTGAAGTTGTATACTAATAAATTCAGGCTTTCTTTATGCAGAAGAAATCTTAAGCAACGGTGTTCATAGAGAAGGGCATTAATCAAGAGAAAGAAGTAAGCTTTGTTCCTAATAATGTTTGCATAATAGCTACCCTTGGGTGTATTGCTTGACTTAAAAATAAATATTCATGCTTTTCATATTCAGTGCAATGGAAATTATTTGTGGTTATGATTCTGTTATATGATCCTCTACCTATTCATGGGGACTTTAAGCTGGGAGGCCCTTGGAAACCAACAAAGATAAATAACAATGCTTGTGAATGATACAGAAATTGAAAGAGTCTCTACTGTGGGCAGTCTGGGGGCAAGAAACCCCCAGGTCATTAATGTATTTTCAGAAGGGGAGGAGCAGAAGAGAACTGGCCTGTAGAAGGACACTTACGTGCTCCTGTGATCTGCTTTTACATCCTCAGTGGCTTCCACCTCGACTGCTCTCCACCTGCCACGTGATGTGACAATATAGAGCTTTTTGCAGGCTCTCACAGGCACAATGACTTTTCACTTCCCTTTCTTTGTTCAAAGATTTCCTTCATCTTGTAAGGATTTCCAAAGCTGTTCTGCCAATTAATTTCATTTCTCATGAATATGCTGGCTTCAACTTCACCTCCTCTAAGAAGCCTTCTCTGAATTGCATCTCTAGCCATTAAGTTGTAACTCAGCCTCTCTTATTGACTGATGGATTGAGATTCTTAGTAGACTTCATCCTGGAAAATTCTTTCATCCTCTTGATTCATTGTTTATATGCACCAAAGTTTATTACACAAGTACTTTAAATTCATTCATTCATTTTTTCTTTTCTTTTCCCTCTCATTTCCTTCTCTCTTGCTCCCTCTTTAATTTGAGCTTTTAAATTCGGAGAAGAGTTTCAGTATGGTCTTGAAAGCAGGCTATGGTATGGTTTTGAATTTCTAGATATGAGTTGCAGGCTTTGCATTAAATGTTCTCAGATGCAAATTTCCTAACCTTATTTCTTTCATAATCTGGCTATTCTACTGAAGCAAGAGAAAGCCCTGTAGTATCAGAAAACAAGCTAATGTATTCCCCTGGATCTATGGTTGCTAATGCTTTCCCCAGGCTTTCCTTCCCTGTGCTCTCATGTAGTATGTATGTCATGAAGTTAAACATCATCCCTGGGCTCCTTTGGCTGTGGCTTCCATCGAATAGGATCTAAGTTAACAGAGATACATCTATCCAACTTCAGATGCCAAGTTCACCCTTCTTGGTCTTTCTGAAGCATCCATATGCCTTTTTCATGTACTTATATGTAGTCGTGGTGGTACTGAAAACTATTCTTTCTGTTTCTGGAATGTATTCATTTATAAAGCACTTTTTAATCTTTGATCCTCACTACAGAGATAAGCAGTAAGGCAGTTATTCTCATTTGCTAGTGAGAAACTGACTAAAAACACGAAGTAACTTCTTAAGTTATTTGCCCAATAAATTACAGAGTTAGAATTAGACCCCCGTATATCACTTTTATTGCATTGCAAACCTGACAACAGTGTTGTCTGCCACTTTCTGCAGGCCTCACCAAGCCTAGTGAAACTCTGCACACTGGACACGTGGCAGCACTGGACAAAGCTGGGCTAGACACAGGGACCTGCTTTGCAGTGTGACAGGGCCACTGCTGGCTCTGTCCTCTGGGAGAGTCACTTCACTCTAAACTCAGGATCTTTGCATGCAAAACAAAGACTGAAACACAGTATTTTCTCAGGTTCTTTTGATGCATAACATCTTATTAATTCCCTTTCTGTTATTCACATCCATTTTCCCTTCTAGTTTCTTTTCTCTTTTCTTTCTTTTCAGCCAACTCTACAACTCCTTGGTTTGCTTTTGCACTATCCAAAACACTGTACTAGGATTCACAGGGAGATGAAAAGAATGAACACTGTAATCCTTATATCTTCCTGTGGAGAGGAACCTTTCCTCCTCCCTTTCCTGTTCTCCATTTTTATCTGTTCTTCTTCCTGCATCCTCCTCTCTTCCATATTCAGGTAGCCTTCCTAATCACCATAGCTTCTCAGAGTGCCTGCTTTGTCTGAGGGCTCAGTCCTGTGCCTCTGAGCAATTTACCCAGCCATCACCCTTTGCATGTGCTTATGTAGAACTCTAGTGTTCAAGAGAAAAGCCTCAGGACTGTGTTCAGTAACAGCTGGGGATTCTGTGTACTTTGATACGTGCTGCTATGCTTTAGGGTAACTCTACATGAGAAGTGATCCAAACAAGAAGAATAAAATTTCACTTTGTGAAATACATTTACATTATTTTTCTTCTAAAATTGTGTGTATTTAAAACCTGAAAACCCATTCATGAGTAGTTTCAAAATTGAGACACTTATTTTTCTAAAAGAACCACTTTCACTCTGATAGATAGTTCTCTTTAGCATCCATAATCATCATCAGTCATGCATACACTTGTCCCCTTTGTCAGTCATATTTTCTTATTTTTCTTCTACACCCATATGACTTGCATAAGTCATTAGACACTTCTGTCCCCACAAGGGAACATATCACACATAGTTTAAGATATCTAAGGCATTCAGGCGTCCTTCAGTAGCAGTTATCTATGAACTGAATACGAAACACATGGTTATTCTCTCTAGAACACAATTAAAATAGACTTATTTCCTCTTTGTTGTCTCTAGTCCTTTTAATATCCATAGCAGTGGTTATTTATTTATCATTGCAAAACACAGTAAAAAAGAGTGGTGATTTCTTAAACGCCAAGAAAGTAGAAGGAACTGGAAAGAAAAGAGCAGCCACCATCATGTTGCATCAGCGGCTGGCTTAGGGACATTCATTGTAGTTCAAGAATACTATTGGCCACTCTATAAGGTTTAGACTTTCTGTTTTACAGTTTTGGAAACTGAGGCTCAAGGAGTCAGATGATTTACCTAATGTTCCATAGCTTTTAAGTGTCAGAGCTAAGAATTGAATCTAATTTGTGTGACTCAAAATTTCCTGTTACCTTTCCTGTACCAGGCTGAGGGGCGGGGATGTATTGATCTCAGAAAGGCTTAGCATGATTTACTGGGTTGGTGTCTGGGTAGAGAATGACTAAAGAGGGACTTTCGTCTGTTTAACCAAGATTCAACCTTTAGCATGCCTCCCCTCCCCTTCTTTCGTAAACATAGACTACAACTGCAAAATTTGGATCCAGCCTTTTGTAACATTATAATGAGAGGGTCTTCTACTAATGGGACATCTCTCTTTTGTCTTTCACAGCAATTTTGCAGGCAGTAATAGCTGGTGATCTTATGAAGGTAAGATATTCTCCTACCAAAACTTTGGTGATTCTTTAGGAACTTTAAATCAACATCACGCCTCACCAAATGTTCAAGATCCCATATATCACTTATCTTTTCCCCTTCTGCACTGGCTGAGTAGGAGGAAGGATGCTGTTATGAGAAGTGATTAGAGGGAGTAAGGGGAGCTCTCATAGCATCTCTGCATTTCCTAACAGCAGAGGGCTTGTGGAAGAATGCTCTGGATTTGCCTGGCTTGGTTAAAATGGAGCGCATATTCCCAGGATTCCCAGTGCCCAGAATTCCTGCTGTCTAGGAGCTGATACCTAAAGAATTTAAAGATTTTTTGACAGGTATTGGAATGAATGCACCTGTAAGAGTTACCTGACCCATACCCAGAAATCCATACTCCAGGCCAGAGCTCACAACTTCCGTTATTTAAGTGTTGTAATCCAAAAGAAGACTATTTGGTTCACTTGGAACATTTAAATTTTTGCTTATATTTTCTGGTTAATTTAGTTGAGGGAGATGCTCATGATTGTCTTGAGAGTGAATGTAAATTCTGAAATCAGACTGCCTGATTCAGATCTTGGCTCTGCCATTCATGCTATGTACGATTTCATCTAATTAGTGAATTCTCTCTGTGCCTCAGTTTCTTCATCTCTAAAAGGGGATATTAATAATAATATTACCTCTTTTCTCTGATTTGTCATAAGGTTTTAGTGTAATCATACATTAAAGCTGTCAAAATTGTTTCAATACATGGAAGAGGCTTAAAACGTTGGCTATTATATTACAGTGTTAATCTATGTATTATAACTAAACATGGTTGGGGTAAGAATATGTGTCTATAAAATAGTCTGAGTCTTCCAAAATGTCTGCCTGAGCCCATATCATTTTCAGGCATGGGATCTCAAGACTCCATCTGTCCTTAGTGACCTTATGACCTTAGTGGCCTCCATCTGCCCTTTGATAGTGGCAGGTAGGTCCCTCAGGGTGTGTGTTACCCATCAGCATATGCAACGAGGTAACGATACAGACTGAAACACCAAAAGCCTTAGAAGAAAGCCAAGAAATACCATCATCTTTTTTAAAGCTCATAACTTGGATAAAACAGGGAGTACCTGGGCTGTATTTTACGTGACTGTTTCTTTTTTTGTTGTTTTTGTTTTGGTTTTGGTACCGGAGATCGAACTTGGGTCCTTGCACTTGTGCAGCAGGCGGCAAAACCACTGAACTAAATCCCTGGCCCTTGTGCTATATTTTAAATGGGTGGAAAGTAGATATGGAGAAGGTGGCAAACATGCTGATCAGCTTGCATCGGTGTCACTGAGAACTGTCATCCAGAACAGGAAAGCGTTCCCTCAGCTCTGCTGTTTCCCAGCAGTGAGGAGCAACACCGTGCTGTTCTGAAAGGCTTGAGTTGGGGCTATGGAAGTACAGACATGGGCAAGGCTCACCACTGCCCCTTGAGAACAGTAAAGACAGAAAATGCTGCAAAGCACTGGCCACTTGAAACCTTTGGATTTTATTTCCTATCTCTCTTTAATGTAGGCAGCCAGTCTGCAGGGTCCATGACTGTGTCACCATACTTTTCTTACACTTAACATACAGTTATTTGAAATATGGGAAGTTATTATATCCAGCTGGTTGTTTTATTACATTCTATCCTATAATTATGTCTTAAATGTCTAAGAAGCGACTTAGTAACTCTTTATTTACTGAGAGATGAAATATAGGGGGGAGAGTTTTTCTTTTTCAGACTCTTCCCTTTCTTCCATTTGTTTGTCTTTTCCTAAGTATCTTTACCCCCTTCTCATCTTTTCTATCTTCTTTCATTTCTCTCCTGTGTATGAAGCATAGTACAGTAAGTGTTAAAGAGATTGTGTGTGTGATAGGGAGAGAGAAAGAGAGAGAGAGAAAGGGGGAGGGAGGAGAGAGAGCGAGACAGAAAGAGACAGAGACAGAGACAGAGTGAGGGAATGCATAGAACCAGAGACGAGAGAAGATCAGACCCTGGGACCACCCACTGTGCGGCTGGCACAACGCCCGGCCCTGTGCAGGTGGGCTGCCTAGCTGCATAGGCGCCATGGACTAACTTCGTATTCACAGCAGCTGAAAACCCCACAGAAAGCCAGGGCCAAGGCAGCTGACCCTGACTGGGCCTGTCTTGGTCTGTGCTCCCATCCTTCATGGACCTGCCCTTAGAGAAAGAGAATCAGGCCGGACCATGCACTTGAACGGTACAGGATTCTCCTTTGTATCTTTGTGAAAGACTGTTAGCTACTTCTTCCTGTCATCTTGCCCACAGCTTAGGAATAAAAATCCTCACAAGCTCCTCACCTCCATTCAGCTCCTCTTCTTGATCTATCTCCAGGCAGTCTTCCATGTCTTTCCATGGCTGGCTTCCTGCCTGCCTTGCGCCCCTCTGATAACCTCACAGCGCCCCTGTGTATGACCGTGATTGCATACACCTCTTCTTCCCTGCTGACTAGGAGGCTTTGAGCCTGTGACTGAGATCGAGCCATATCTATCTCTATTTCTGCATTACTTTTGCGTACGGCCTGCTATGTTATTTGACTTTTATTTGTCCTTGCACTACCATTTAGAAGCTTCACGAAGCCTTTTCTTGTCTTAATATACCACAGTATAAAGAATGGGGACCCTTTTACACTTTCTACAGTGTTTAGTATTTCATGAGCTCCAGGCTGCATCCTCATTTAGCCACCTTGCTCTCAAGCTGCCAACTTCTGCTCTTTTCCCCTCTCTTTTTTCTCAAACAGAACAACTACATTCTCTCTATCATGTTGTTTCCCATCCTGCACATCATCTCTAGCTTAGTTGGGAGTGTTCGGATGATTTATGGAAGACATCAGGCCAGGATATAGAAATGGATGGATGAAGAATGGGCTGTGTGCGTGTGTACATTCTTGTGTGCAGAAAAATGAGAAACAGCTCTTAAATTTGGTAGTTAGGTTCGTTAGAGATCAAAGAACAACTAAAGAACCCAGGAAAGCAGCTTAGCCACCAGACAAAGTCTTCCTGCCCACAGCCATAATTATTCCCTCATTGGAGAGTCCAGAGCCAACCTAGGAAAGTTCTTTGTTCCCTTCTCTGCCTCTCTGTCCCTTGGGGTAGAGACCAGTGCTCAGAGAGAAAAAAAAAAGCAATCCAGCATGTTTCCAAGTTCCTCAGGCCATTTACTACCCACAAACCCTCTCCGGAGCTAGGTGGGACACTGACCATCTCTGTGAGTTATAGTGCGGTTCAGGAATGGTACTTCATCTCTTTGACTTGTGTCCCTGTCCTCCAGGATGGAAACATTTGTGGTTTGTTACATTACTCTTATTTTATGACCCAGTAGCTGTAACCTTTGTTCTGGATTCTGCCTGAACATCTTTCTGTATGTGTCTCTTTCAGCTAATAGAAAGCTATAAAAATGGCGGCAGTCTGCTAATTCAGGGACCAGACCACTGTTCACTCCTTCACTACGCAGCTAAAACCGGCAACGGGGAGATTGTGAAATATATCCTTGACCACGGTGAGTAGGCACAGTGGACTTACCCATGGCCACTTATTCATGAAATAAATGACATTGTCCAAGTTGACATGCATGCAGGCTCTCTTCAGAATGGCAGGAATACTCACTTATTTTTAGCTTACACCCCCTGGTTATTTGAAGCAGCTGGGTTTGCAGACCATTGACAGTGTGACATCTTACCCAAGCAGTTAATAGAACACATGTTTATGATCTGCTTCATACAGGCAATTGGGGGTTAATTAATTTAAAACATAAAACAAAATCAAATTCAGCCTTAAAAATGTGCTTTATTTTTGTAGGTTTTTTTTGGTATATGTATTCCATATTCATAGTTGATCATTTTGAGGATATATGAGTATGTTTTTCCCTCCATCTTTCTTATCTTTGTTTTGCTGTTTGATTGTCATTCATCTGTTCCACTCAAGTCATACTTGATTCTCTGTGAAAATGTCTGGTGCTATTTTGTCTTGTGTAAGAGGCCACACTCACCTCCCAGAATGTTCCCTAACTTCCTTTCTCATTTAAGGTTAGATCATTTGTTTGGATGTAGCAAGCACACAAGTGCTATAGCATCTGCTTCTAAAAGTCCATTAGCACCGCAAGCAATGTGACAGAGACCAAATCTTCCATATTACCTTTGGATTCTCAAGTTTAGAGTGTTTCTAGGAGTAAAAAACAGGCAAAGGGGTCAGTGGTGTCTGCTGCCTTCGCTGTTTTAAGGGCAGAAGAGCAGAAGGGTGTATCTGCTGGACCCAGACATGGAGCTCCTGGGAGACTTGAGTCTGTTCACGCTGAACCCAACTTCACTCTGCAGATTGTAAGCACATTAGTTCTTCTATTGCCATCTTCTTGGTCACTTTCAGTCCTCATTAGTTTGCCAGTTACCCAATGAGAGCAAATGTTTATTCACAAACTGTAAGTCATTTAGTGCCCTTTCTGGAGTAAGGTGATATCCTTGCTATCTATTTGAGTGACAACATAACCCAGGCATCGGTTTTCCTTGCTCTTTACTTTTTTCGAATAAGCGAAATTTCACCTGCAGTTCTAGGATCTTTTCTGTAGTAGCCATGACACTTCAGTTTGTCTCTGTTTTGACCAAGATGTATGTATTTAAGATTGATTCTCTCAAACACTTTGGGGTTCTCAGCTGGTTATTGGAAGGATCAGGACACCTGCACCTTTCTCTATATCTGGTTTTTTATCTCAGGCATCTTCATAGAATGGTTATTTAGGGTTTGTTGTTGTTGTTGTTGTTGTTGTTGTTGTGTGTGTGTGTGTGTATGTGTGTGTGTGTGTGTGTGTGTGGAGGGCTGAGAACGGAAGTCGCCACATATACCAAAGCTGTCCAGGAAAGCTATGCATCATCTTCACTGCGTTCTGTTGGCTAAAACAAGTCACAAGGCCAACCCAGACTGAAGTGATTGGGAGGTAGACTCCTCCACTTGATGGAAAGACTGCCACATAATTTGCAGTTATGCATAATCTCTCCTCTCTCTTACTCTCTATTCCTGACCCTCAGTGTCTGGATCATCTGACTTACGTAGAGTGCCTTGGCGTTCTGCCTTTCCAGGGGTTTCCAGATTTAGCAAATAAAGTAAAAGAGAAAAAATATTCTTTAAGCACAAGGATATCATGTCCAATGTTTGAGACATACTTATACTAAAAACAAAAGCAAAAGCAGAACACTTCCTTGGCTGAGTTTCCCAAGGGATTTGAATGATGATGTCTGGGATAATATTCCTAAAACACCAGGGCTTATCACTTTCCTTATTGCTTTTTTGTTCTCTGCCTCAAGTAGTAAGGATTCTAGAAGTGCGTTTAATCTAAACTCACAGAGCTTGGAATGTCTCACCCCAAATGTAGATCAGTACACACATAATTTGTCTTGCATCGAATCCATCTGGCATGTTAGTCAAGAGCTTTGATCAAAGCCTGCCATTCCAATAGGAGATGAGCTTTTTTTTATTGATCTGCAGAGTTTGGTTTTTGTTTTTGCAAAGGGTGAATCATAATTCATCTCTCTCTGCCAAAACCATAGGACACAAAGGAATCCTTTCCTTTTTTCAGGAAGGTGTGTATCTTTCCAGTGTTTTTGTTAGATTTTGTAAATTCATTGGTTTGATATTTATACTCATAAGAAAATGCTGTAGATCCCCAGTTACTGTCACTTAACACACTGGCACATGGTTCCCAAAGTCTCACAAAATGTCCTTAACTGTCACTGTCTCATCAGAATCTCTACTTGGCCAGTAGATGTCTGAGAGAAAGATTGTGAGAACAGTGAGATTAATCCATTTCTTCTGATTGAAAATAAAATCTTATCATGGTCCACAGCCTCGAGATCAGAGCATTTTTTGATGGGTGGCAATTTTTAACTTTTACTACCACAATGGAATAATGGAAGCTACAATACAGTCAATCTTTACTGAAATTAGTTTTTATAGGCATTGTCAATTTTATTTTTATCATCCATCTCATCATTTTTGCTTATTCAGGAATGCGGATGCAAAATCTTTCCACACAGCCAAACTCACTTGAAGAGCTGAGCACCTCAGCTCAACTGTTTGTTTGCTTTTAATATCTTAGTTGGTGGTGCAATTTATATTAACCTGTGCCTTTTGAAACTGAAAATTATCTTTGCAGAACCATTCACCACCTTTAAATTATAGAACCTCCTTAAATTAGTGTTTTTGAAGTCAGGAACAAGTAAATGGAAAAAATTACCCTTTCTCTTCTTTGTAATCACCCTCATAACGTGGTCTCTGCTGATTGGAACAGTCTTTCCTAACTTAGCACTCAGTGACAGTGCTCAGTCAACTCTGGAAGTTCCACGTGCTGAACAACCACCAACAGATACGTGTCCTTTCCAGAGAGGCCTCAGGATGGCTGGGATCAAGGGAGGTAAACCAGATTATGGTGATATGGTTATAAATAAGCATCAGATTTAAAGTAGGAAAGTCTGATCAGCTTGAATTCATATAAACAAAAGACTAAATCAATGATGTTTTATGCTATTCAAAAAAGCAAGAATGTACTCCTCCTAATCATTGAGTGCTGCAAATCTCTCTTTTTCTAATTTTACAATTTGGTTCACATCTTTCCCATGGGTTCAGATACCATACATCCCGAAAGCTGCTCAAACACCTCATTATAAAGACGGCTTTAACAACAGTGACGCTGAGGAACCAGTGGCTTCTTTCTGGATGCATACCTGATGTTCTGTGTGGCCTTCAGCGGGTATATGCACTCTGCACCATTTCTCCTCTGAGTGCCTCTGCCCTGGCTTCTAGGCCTTTTCCTGACTAGGGTGAGGAGTGTGGACCACAATCAAGAGGAAGAAGAGCGACCCTGAGTCATCCTCCAGACAGTGATGAGCAGTGTGTTTTGCCTCTGAGGGCTCCTTGAAGCCAGCAGTGGGCTGGGGATGAGAGGTGTGCAGTGTGTTCTGAAAAGCCCTGAAAGCCGCCCTGGGGACTGCTTCTCTCATACATACAGCATGCTGCTCTCCTTTGTGAAACCCTGGAATCTGGGCCTTTAGAAGGCTGAAAAGAGAAAGACAGAGGAAGAGAGGGAACAATTCCAGAGACCGGGCAGAGGCTGAGGATGCAGAGAATTCCAGCTGAGACTCCCCCACAGTGGCTCCTGCTTTTCAGCTCCTTTCAACCATCATTTTTACCCCCCCCCCACTAGTTTACCCCTCTGAGAGACTTTTGTGTTGTTTTGTTCCTTCACCACCCTGCACATTTTGCTCTTTTGTTTTTATTCTCCCCAGGCCTACCCCATTGCCCCCTACTGGTTTTCCAGATAGAAATCTCACTCATGCATTTCCTTTTGGATTTCAATAGGTTATTTTGCCTGCCCTCTATTTTTTTTTGTCTTCAGCCTTTCTTTTCTTTTTTTTTTTAACACCTCCCCCCTTGCTGCCTGCAGTCCCAGAGAGAACTGACTGCTGTTGTCCCGCTGGGACAGGATGACAGTGCCATTAGGATTCCCAGTGCCAGCTCTCCCCACATCTGTGCCGCCTTTGTCTTGCGGCAGAGGAGGATTTGGAATGGTCTGTTGGCAGCGTCAGGGAGACTAATGGGAAATGAGGTCCCAGAGTGAGAGGCCATGGGGAGGTAAAGTGAACAGCAAAGAAGCCTTGGACACACTGGCGTGAGGAGCACATTACAGGATGCATGTTACACAGATCACAGGCAGTAAGAATACAGTGTGGACGATGAGGCTGTATCTGCAAGGGCTGAAGGAGCTGAGGGAAGAGTCTGTGGGCTAAGGCCTGGGCCCAGACCTGCACTTTCTAAAGCTTGAGTCCTACTGCAGTGTTCATGCTCTCATTTTGTACGATCTGTGAGATTTGTCTCCCAGGTTCCCTGGACTTCGCCTGAATACTGATGCATATGTCACTTAATACACTTTTCTTTCCCTTGATTTTCAGACCATTTCTGGTATTCGAGTCCTTTGAATCCATGTCTTTCAATTATGGATATTGCTCTAAGAAAAATATGATTTGGCCGTGATCCAAAATGTTTTTTAAAATGTCACTCTTGTTAATTCATTTTAAAAATGTCATTCTATTCTAGGCAATATCAAGAAAAACAAGTTACAGAAATCATTACAGCTAACATTTGTTACTCTAGATGTTAAGTATATTAGCACGTTTAGTTTTTACAAACTCTGCACTGTAAATTCTCTTATTTACATTGGACAGATGGTAAAATTTGATTACTTGCCCAAACTCCTACATATAGATATGATACAGATTCTGCTCTTCATGTTCCTAATTGTAACATGGAAAACTAACCACAAGGCAAAGTATATCTACCTGTGTCAATGCTAGGATCTGGGGACACCTGGCAGGGTTCTGCAAGAACACTGAGAATTTCAAGGGGAAAGTTGTCCCCACAGCCCTGATGGAGATTTTTACAGTTGTTTCCTGGCATAGGTCAGTTGCAGGCACCTGTGGGATGGAATGTGAACATTTTAGCAAACCCTTGGAGACAGAGAGCCAAGATTTCCTTGTATAATCAGGCAACAAACGTGGTTCTCTGCCAGCAATTCAATGATATTCCTCCAAGTTCCTTAGAGAAGATGGCATAATATCCACAATTAGAATATAGGTATATGTAAAATACAAACCAAAGTAGTACCTGTTGATATCCATTGAAGAATTCGGTCTTCTTTATTTTTTTCTTGTATTTCTTCTTTATTCTCCTTTCCGTTATAGGTGAGACTCAAATTAACTTTCTAAAAGTATCAGGTGCTATTTTTTATACATTTTATGTTCTAGAGAACTTTTATAGCCTTTGTCAGTAATTTTTGTCTCCCTGGACATGTTCCACCACCCCCAGATCTTATGGCAAGCTCACTAATTAGCCCAGGCTGCTGCTGAAGCCCAGCTCTGGGCAGAGCAGTGCAGAGGAATGCAGGAAGGACCCACAGCATTGTACTAGGACACACCAGCATCCACTTCCCCTGTGCCTTCTGCTACAACCCCCATCTGACTACCATGATACAAGCGCGGGCCTTTGGAAGCAAGCTTTTAAAACAATGAGAAATATGCCTGTGCTGTCAGGAGCAGCCCCCCACTCCTATCTGGACTATGCCGTCCACCACCTTTCTCTCTTCTTTGACCCTTGCCTCGCCCCTGCTCACACTGTTCTATTTCCAGATTGTCTGTGCTGATGAGAGGAAAAGCAATGTTGGGATTAATCAAATCAGTAGTCCCAGACATTCCCCAAGCCCTTAAGTGGAACTTCTGTAGCTATTAGAGCACAGTATCTTGCTCTAGTGTCACTGCCTGCTCCTCTTAGCTCTGCCAGCTGCAGAGGATGAGGGGAGAGTAGGGGGAACTGTGGGTGGCACAAGTGTGCCCAGATCATACTGACTCTGAGGTGGCTGCAGTTGTCATAATTCTGATCAGACACTGTGAGGAACAAGGTGCTTTCTTTTCCTTGTTCCTGTTCCCAAACCATGAAGCTATTGCTCTTTTAACTCAGTTAAAATGCCAGGGCCCCTGAAGTGCATAGAAGCATGAACCCCAGAGGTCAATGGACCCACCAAGGAGGCAGCTCAGAGAGCACCCAGTGACAGTTTGGAATAAAGAAAAGGTTGAAACAAAGTCTCTGATGTCTGCCTAGCTGTGTGGTCACCAGCCATGATCTGGGCACAGCTGCCGCAAGGCTTGGCTCTCCTGTCCATGGAATCTCTTCCAACATGAATAGCTTACATGTTCACTGACAGTGACAAGAGCTCTTCAGAAGGACCAGTAGGCACTGTGAGCCTTCTGCTGCTGATCCTGCTGAGGGTGCTCTGTCAGCAAGTGGGCAGGCCTGGAGTGCTTGGTCTCAGGACGCGCACCTGAGGCAGCAATTGAGTGCACCTGAGGCAGCTTCCAGTGTAGGTGGACTACAGTGGCCCTTCTACATCCTTGTCCTTCACTAACTGACTACAGGGTTCTGACTTAGTGTGAGTGGCTGAATTGTGCAGATAATAATACACCATTCCTCTCCAAACTTGAAGCAGTGCTTATAGGATGTAGACACTGCTGTGACCACATTATAGGTATTGTCTATTAAAACAACACAACAACCCTGTGAAATAAATATTACTAATCCAACTTTACAATAAAACAACCAGGGGTCTGAGCAATGAAATGAACTTGCCCAAGATCCAACAAGTGGTAGAACTAGGATTTTGAACTCAATGGGGCTCAGTGGGGCTCATCTCCATAAACCTCACTCTGAACTACTGCCACATGCTGCTGTGTACTTTGGTGTTGTGTGTGCACATGGTGGGAAGAGGATGGTAATTTGTGTTTAGGGTCACAGAACTGAGGAACAAGACCAAGTTAAATCTTTACTAGAAGATATATGTTAAAGGATGCTCAAGAGGTTTACAGTAATTTAAGGAGATGAGATATGCTTGAAAAGCAAATCCATAATTCAGGGTAGAACCAAACATCATAGGAGTTCTGAAAAGGGATCAATTCCTTCTGTCAAAGATGATCTTTTCAAATGACATTGTCATCATCTGGTCTTTGAAGAATGGATTTAAGTGTGTGCTTAGGAAAGTGAAGGTTGTTCTGGGAGTCGGAGACCAAACTCTTAGAGCTGAGGAAGACTGAAAAATACCTGATAAATTGTTACCACTTTAGGTATGTGAAGAAATGAAATGGAATCTTGGCAACAAAGGAAGGATAGTTCCAAGGGAAAGACTGGGAACTTCATTAGATACTTGGGAATAAGCAGCAGAAATGGGATATGGAAACTTGGAAATCTAGGCAATGTAAGACATTTTCTTAGGAACAGTTTCTGTGTGCTAACAACATTCCAGGCAGAGGCTGATTAGGAATTCTATTTGTCAAATAGGAGGATAGATTGAGAGTGATAATGAGAGAAGGGGGGAAGGAGGGAGACAGAGTCAGAGACAGAGATAGAGACAGAGGGGATGGTATTGCAAGAGAAGATTCTTCTGGCCCAAATGAACAGTAGATGTGAAAACAAGGCGAAGACAGCAAGGGAAGACAGTTTAGCTTCTGGATGACCAGGAGGAGGTTGAAGGTCTCGTAACATCACACTCATCTCCTTAGGCAATGACATTTGTGGTTAGAGAGTTTCTTTGCCTTCTTCTTGCATTATGCACAGTAAGTTAATTTTCAGTAGTAATGATCTCCACTAATACAGACAGCAAATCTTAAAGATCATATTTCTAAAGACAAAGATGCTTATTGCCTACAATCAAATCTGGCACTTCCACGCACATTTATTCTTTCATTCATTTAACCAAATAGTAAAGCACTTGCCTGGCACCAGGCTCTATGCTAGGTGCCAGGGAAAAAAAGTGGGGCAGAGCAAAAACCAAAACATCCAGAGGTTTACTAGTATCTAGATGTAGAGATAAAGAAGTCAACAGGTACTTTTAAAATAGTTTGAGAAGTGTCATGTTTAGTAATCTGGATGGTACCAATTTAGATAATTATATAACCCATTCAGGGATGAAAAATAGAGTCAGTACATAAAAAGTCATGCAGGCAGGGTGTTTAATGCAAAATCCAGAGTAGGGCCATAGGAGACTTTGTGGGGGGAAATGGTCTCAGCCTGAAAGAGGTAAGAACTTACAGGGAAGGGAGGGAACAGTGGTCTGAAGGTGGAAGAGGACATTCTATGCAGTGTTTCCAGAATGAATGAATGAATTAGTAAACAAAACATCAAGAAGGGGAAAACTATGTTGTTACATAACATTTCTTCCTGGTATTAGAAGGGAAATTTTAACTTAACTGTACTTACAAAATAGCTATTCTTTTTTCTTTTGGTACCGGGGATTGAATTTAGCACCTTGTGAGGCAAGTGGTGGCACCACTGAGCTAAATCCCCAGCCTTACTTATGAAATAAAGTACGGAACAGGGTGACATGTCCTGTGCTCTGTGGTTCTCCCATTATGCTGTAGAAAATCCCAACCCTACAACAAGCAGCTGAAGAATAAGAAATGGCTCCTGAATCCCATCCACTTGGCTTTGGTCTCTCTAGTAAGCCATTTAATTATTTTTCAATTATTCCATCCAAATTAAGTTTATTTCTTCAGTGATTGAAAGCTTCTTAACAGCAGAGAACAGATCGCCTTTTGGATCTCCCATTCTGTATATACTGCCTCATAGAGATTGGACAATAGGTGATCCATAGGTAGAGGAATCCTTTTTTGTTTTTTGTTTTTTTTGGTACCGGGGATCGAACTCGGGTCTTTGCGCCTTCGTAGCAGGCGGTGAAACCACTGAGCTAAATCCCCGGCCCGAGGAATCCTTTTTTATTTTCTTTTTGTCTTATTATCCCTATCACAAGATACTCTTTTAAAACTAAGGTATATTAATTCTGTGACTGTAGATTTTCTGTTAATGGTTCATTTTGGAGCTTATTTTTGATGGGTATCTTACTTTTTTCTTGCTTAGGACCTTCTGAGTTATTGGATATGGCAGACAGCGAAACGTGAGTGTTGCCTTTCATTACATAGCCTAGAATATTTCCCTCAGAACATTCAAGAAGGATCTAGTCTACACAGCTTATCAAGTAATTGTAATATTATTGATTAAAAAGTCCACTTTCAACTGTATTTATAGCTCTGCAGGCCTAATCTGCTGAATGACAAATTGCATGATAAAGACTGATGACAAGTCTCACAATGATTTTATGTATGGTCAATGGTAGTTATGATTTAGACTTCCTGTCAGCAAGATCTTTTTACACAGGTGCATCTTGGACTGCTGAGAATTTTAAAGAAATACATTTCCCTTTACGTATACCCACCACATTTATTCTTTCTCATCTGGGGTTGAGGCATCCTTTGCTCTTAGTGGCACAGCTTGTGTGTCACTCAGAAACGGAGGAGATACTGTATATGTCACCACTGGACAACATGGTGCTCAAAGGGTCTTCAGCCCTGGGATGGTCCCTAAGTTGATGATGTTCAATTTTAACTTTCTTATTCCTCTGTCAACCACATAGCTACCTCACCACCAGCAGAAACAAGGGAAGGTCAAACAATTAACCCTGACAGCCATGTAGGAACCACTAGAGAATTTCAAGGAAAGTCAAAAAGGGGTAAAACAATACTTGGGGCTCAGAGGAATAAGCTGATGAACAGCTAATAGGCAGTGAGCAGAAGGAGGAATAGGCAGGACAGAGGACCCGCGGGCACACTGGCCTTCGCTCACTCTGTAGAGCTGTTCCACATAGAGAATCTTCCACAGGTTTAAGTAGTTTCATCACTTACCCAGTTCCCCTTCAAGGGTTACATTTGATTTTTCATGAAACACTTTAATGTTACATTTATTTTTACTTTGGGAATGGGAATATTCCCCTCAGTAGACTGCTTGTCAGAGAGAGGGAAACACATATTCCCCCTCACCTCCTTCCCACTGGGAGGGGCTGGCCTCTGTCCTGCTGCCCACTGGGTGGACGCGTGCCCTGAGCTCTGGAAGAGTCTCCCTGAGCCCCCAGTTTCCTGTGGGCGCCCCCTCCTAGACTCCTCAGAGAGTGTTGGCCTCCTTCTTTGCAGTTAGGTTCCCAGCAGAAATTCCTCTGAAAGCCAGGTGGTGTCCACCGGGTACTGTGAGGTGTGTGAGGGGGCAGTGGACCTATGGACTATGCTGAGTGGTCTTCATGCTTTGCACAAAGTGATGCACGAAGAGAATCACTTCAGTGTTTGATGTGATTGCTGTTCCATGGCACCCTTCAGTTTATCCTAATTTAAACAATAGTAGTTTAAAAGAAACATCTTTAGGCTTAGTCAACCTATACTGAGGCTGGTTTGTTGATGAATAACTGAAAGTATTTTTGGAATCTCCCTTGCCAGTCTCCCCAGAATGTTCCCTGCAGCCTTGGCCTCAGCTGCCTCCAGCTGAAGTGGCTGAGCACCCAGCTTGAAGCAGGGCAGGATGGGTCCCCTCGCCGCCCCTGCTGCTTCCACCCCCACGCCCGTCCCCATACCCTCTATGAATGGTTTCTCATCTCGTCTTTGATTTAGGGGTGAGACGGCGCTGCACAAGGCTGCCTGCCAGCGGAACCGGGCCGTGTGCCAGCTTCTGGTGGATGCGGGAGCATCTCTGAGAAAGACAGACTCCAAGGTAACTGGCTGGGCGAGCACAAGCATCCTCCCCCAGGCAAGATTGCAGGCCCCGCTGCCTTCGCTTGTGCCCACAGCACAGGCGTCCTTTCTGTGCTCATGGAAGTGCCTGGGGCCCTGGAAAAAGGAGGAAAAAATAGGGTGCTTCATTTAGAGAAACTGCAATTTAAACGTGTAAGCACAAAGGGAAGCACATAGAGCACTTGCCTATGGCACTTTATAAAGTCCTGCACTTGGGGCCTTGGGACCTCGGGGTTGTCTGATGCATGTGGATGTGAGATCCGGAGCCCTCGAGAGGTGCCTGAACCATGTTGAACGACATTGGCTTGTGACTGAGAAGTCCCTTTGGGATTCCTCTTTCAGTCCTGAATCCAGTGTGCTTTAGAAATCTATAGTTTAATGAGGCTCCATATACAAATGCCAGAGTAATTTCACTTCTCAAATGGTGGGCCTTGACTTCAAGATGGTTGTGATCTTAAATTTGCTGTAGTTACATAGGTCTGTATTTATCTTTTATTTTTAAAAGGTTTTTCCCCCCATTTTTTTTCTTGAATTAGTTGTGAAAAATTAACGCTAGAAATCCCACAGGATGGAAATTACTGTCACTGACTAGGCAAGAACTGAAACCTGAAGAAGGTTGAATTTGCACTAGGCCTTGCTCTTTTAACATTCAGCCCAGTAGAGCAGAGTGACTGGTCTCCTTTGATGACAGAATCCCCCATTGCCCCAGTAGGGTATATTGTGACAACAAAGAAACAAGTTGGTTTTCATGTGTGGTTTGCATAATGGGTTTTGTTGCCACACAGTGATACTTAGGGCCTGTGGCTTGAAATGTGTTGACTTTCTTTACAGCAAAAGTTACATAAATCAGGATCCAAAGTATGTGGATGTCTTTTTTTTTTTTGGTACCGGGGATCAAACTCGGGTCCTTGTGGGGCAGTGGGCAGAACCACTGAGCTAAATCCCCGGCCCCTATTATGTGGATGTCTTAAGAGGGTAGTGAGGACAGAAGATGTTAGTGTGACACACATGCCAGTCTTGACCAGAAAGTACCCATTGGTAGAGGTATGGCATCAACTGAATAGTGTAAGGAGAGCTGGGATTGGGCTACATAGGGGGTTAGTTCAATTTACAGAGAACACCCAAGAGAAAGGGTTGACAAATAAAGCAGGAGCTGGAGTGTAGTAGAGTTGACCTAGGACTGAGCTCTTGAGAGTGAGAGAGAGAGGCAGGCAGACAGACAGAAAGACAGGCAGACAGAAGATGGGGATTTTATACAGATGATCAACCCTTTAGAGGATTTGATAAGCTCTAAAAATTTTAAAGCACCCTGGGTAGGCTTCAAGAGCCAACCACTTGCTCAGCCATAGAGACTTGCAGAGAAGAATTTTAATGTGTAGATGGATCTGTCATGAAACAGGCTCTGAGTAACAGGTTTAGAACCAATGGCTGTGGCCATGACCCATCAGCATATAACTTAGAAGCCTAATCAATGACTTAAGTTCCATTAGACTTATTTAAGTGACAAGTCTCTGCCTGTGTGCAGTTTTGTACATTGAAACTCTTGAACTTGTAGCACACATTGTAAAGGAGACCTTTCTGTCCTTCCAGAGCCAGTTGTAATGCAGGAGTTCTCTGCTCTCTGGAAGCTACTATTCCTTCCTAGGCCTGTCAGACACATTTGAGCTGTGTCCTGGTCTGCCACTCTCCTGGCTAGCTAGCTAGGTATGTTACTGCATTCAGACACTTGGTTGTTGAACATAATTGAGAAGCACACATGTCGTAGGCAGGATCAGTCCAGACCATGGTGGGCAGGTGGGGCCTGGCTGGAGCTGCTGAGTGCACAGCACAACAGCTGCCCTATTCCCACCAAAGGCTGTTCCACCATTCAGCTCAGACAGTGAGGAGAAAGGAAAGGAACACAGGCAGTGGAAGGAGCGATAAAGTGGCTGGTGAGCAATTCACCTCTTCTTCTTGGTCTCTGAATCAAATAGAATCAAATAAATGGACTCAAGGTTCTTTGAGATTTCTATTTTGTTTCTCGTATGTGTGTACTTTTTTCAAATTCCAAATTACTTTATTATTTTGTGGCTACGCATGTAATGTATTCTCACAGAAAAAGCCAGCAATATAGAAAAACACACACCAAAAAGCAAAAACATCTGGAAATCTTACAGTCTAGACCTAAATACTATTAAACATTTTTTTAATGATCATGCTTCACATGTAGAGATTTCTATTTTTGAAAAACCAGGTGAAGTTGTAGTTTATATGCTATTTATAACATAAGTTTTCAATCAGTATGATGTTCTAAAAATCTTTCCATATGAAGTAATATAGCTATGCCTCATTTTTGTTTAAAGGTCCTTTAATGTTACCATTCTGTAACTTAATGCTAAGCTAAAGGTGAACGTAATACTTACTCCTAGATTCTCTCTTGGAATTTTTTTGGATAGAAGCAATATCTTAGGAAATTTCTCTTATTAGAGAAGAATTTCTTAAAAATTAACTCAGGCCCACCGAAGACTACCTCTCTGAATAGTTTGAAGCTAGGACTATTAGCCTCATTATCATTGCAGTAAAGACAAGAGACTATCAAAACTGTAAAAAAGTTAGATAAAAATTATTGTAGGAGCTTTAAGCCAGTGGTTAAATTTTAAGTCCTGACTACATAAGTCAAAATTTAGGAATAGTCCAGAGCCATTGTTACTTTCCTTTTTCCCTCCACCTCAGATACCGAGTAGGCTTCTTGGAGATGGTTGAACATTTGAGGTCAACAGCATCCACTGGGATACCCGAGAAAGGAACTAGGAAGTCACTGATAATTTTTGTAAAACCCATGTGTACATGAGGCTGTTCGTTTGGTATAATGATCATACCTTAGAACATAATATATGTAATATATATGAAACTCTATCTCTGAATACAAATTGAAAGTTTCAAGGGATGTTAAGTAATACCTGCAAGCATTTAAAAGAATAGACATTCTCAATGGAAACAAAGCTTTTGTACATGGTGGGGGAGGGGGATTGCAGGGTGGGGGATGAGCTAAAATAAAATTTAAAAAAGAAAAATAAATAAGAATACACATTCTCCCTTCCATTACTGCTGAATTCTATTCACTGGTCTCATTTTGAACATATTAAATGTATATTAAAGATGTATGTGTGTTTGTAGGTACAAATGTGCAAAAGGAATTATAGTAGGCTATAAGAAATTATATAATAATATAAAATGTTGATGTACACAATTTAATGACAAAATTATAATATATTAAGTGGAGAAGGTCATATAACAATATGTAAACAAGGTACGGTTTCATTTTACAAAAATAATTATCTATAGAGATAAAAATATAAAAATAGTTACTAAGTGGAAGGTTAATGGTGGTTTTCATAGTTTACTGGGATGATTGGCGATTTTTATTTTCTTGTTTGTGGTTTTCTGCTTTCCTAAGATTTCCTTAATCAATATCCATTACATTGTATTTAAAAATTCAGTTTTTAAAGATTCATGTAGTTAGTGATAAATTGGGGAGAATATAATAGAAGACTTTGAAACCAGCAAAGGAAACTTTTCAGATTACTCGTGACTAACCCTTCCTCACTTTCTGCTGATCGTTTCTCAGAGTTTAGTATGATAGAATCCTAACCTAGAAATCTGAATGCCTGTATCCCTGTTTTTTAATCCGTTCTTTTCTCTCTCCCTTTCTTCTAAAAAGGATCTGGGTTCTAAAACTCGGTGCCACATTTGAGATTCTGTGCACTTCTGTTTCAAGAGATGTAAACCCCATGATACTCTTTAACTCACCAATCTTATATGTTTGCTATAATGCTTATTATAAAAATAAAATAGATTTGAAAATATCTTGTAAATTCTAGGACATCAAATGTGGGGGACCCTTATTAGTGAGAGTCTTTGGGTACCTCTGTTTTTGTGAGAATAGGAGTTGCATGTATAATATCTCACTCCAAATATGTGTGTTTCTTTCCTTGTCACTGTTACAATCAGGGTAAGACACCGCAAGACAGAGCACAGCAGGCTGGGGACCCAGATTTGGCTGCTTACCTAGAAAGCCGCCAGAACTATAAGGTCATCGGCCATGAGGACCTGGAGACTGCTGTGTGACCATGGTAGATGATCAGAGCAAACGTGAGCAAGCATATGACCTGCGTCCTCCCGGCCACTGGGCAGCTCTCGAGGATGAAGCTGATGGAATCCATATGTCTCTCTCCTGCAAGAATCTCTGAGACCATGCCACCAGTTTTTAAGGGCTACCAGGATGTACAACAGAACATGATAGCTCATTGAGAAGGAGGCAGGCTACCTGGAGATTTGTGGAGTACGAGTTCCACAAAATTTGATCCTTATTGCTTCCAGCAAGTAGCATGAACTTTTGTGTTCTCCGGTATAATTTATTTTAAAGATTCAAAGGATGTTTGTATAAATGACACTGTTCCCCCCTCCCCCTACACATCCATCTTTCTCCTTTATCACACAATTCTACTGTAATTACTCATCAGCCTAAAATTTATTATATTATCTCTTCTCTTTACATTCAGTCTTTGAAGACCACAAGATTGTCTGACAGTCTTTTAAATCCCTCTGGATGTCCTGCAGAAATACAACTGTAAAACCATTTCCAAGACTAAATAGACCAAGACCACTCAGTGACTCTTCGCATGTCCTGTCCCCCCCCACCCACCCCGTTTCATTATGGAAGAGCTGGGAAGTGCCTCATGGCTAATGTCAACTTGTGCGTTCTATCTCTGAGGTCATGCGAGGTGGCATGGGAGCTGTCTGTACTTGGAGGTACCTCAGAGAGGTTACCCAAGGTCGGGTTACCCCTCGGCTGCCTGGGCCATTGCCGCGAGCCATGCAGGTCTGGTTCAGCTTGGGCTGTTTGTACAGCTCCGTACTGCCTATGTGTAGCCATCTTTGCCTTTTGGTGCAATAGAGATGAGCAAAGGATTAGACAAAAGCCCATAGCTAGTCCACTCAATTTTAAGTCTTGTTTAAATTATAGGACAGAAGCTTGTCTGGGAACTGTGGATACAGGAAGTGAAGCAATCTGATGAGGTTTACATCTAGTCTTGTTGAATTATAATAGAAAGAAACCTGATCAACTTGGAAAAAAAATAAAAGCAAAAGCAAAAGTAACAGCATATGTTAAGATAATACACTTGTGCAAGAAGCAGTCACTGGAATTTTACACAGAGGTTAATAACCATAGTCTCTTGGTTATCATGCAGAGAGGGTCTCATTGTGGGTCTTCGTTCAGATTTTTGGTTTTTATTATTTCAAAGATTGTTTGCCCCGAGGACCAAGTCTCATTTAATGAATCCTACTGCCAGATTTGCAGGATGCCTGGATCTTTCTAATGAATGCTGTACCTATTGCTTTTCAGTTTCTGGGGTCATGTCTGATAATTCCATTTTCCATATATGGGCTAGTCTAATATATTCCTTTCTTGACTTTGTTTTTCCCGATCAGAAATTTCTTACTACAAACCACTATAAAAGTCTAACCAGCAATCTCTTGTCTGGTAGTGGAATTGCCCTGTCTAATCATGCCATGGATCAGATGGGACTTGGTGATAACTAAAATATCAAGAGGAAAAATATTCTTTTTGTCCAAATGTTGATTCAGTATAAAACAAAAATAAAAGTGAGTTTTCAAGGGTTTTGTTTTTTGGCTAAATCTGATGTCTCCTGAGCTTCCTTCCATTTTGCTCTTGGACACAGCAAAATCATTTCCTTATTTTTTCTGCATGTGATCATAAATGATAATTTCTCTACATTTATTTTAAAGGCCCAGTAGTGACACATTGTTTATCTGAATCACATGTCGGCAGTACATCATCATTTTGAAAGTGCAGATATGATACACTATGTTAAGTCAGAACAGCCTTTCAGGGGTTGGGGTTTTATTACGACAGTCTCTCCATAGTCACTTCAAACCCAAATTGTTGGCATCATTTCCAGCTGTGGGAGAAGGAGCTGGTTATGAGTCATCTGTTGCCATATATCAGTTACAGGACTGGAACTCTTTTTTAGATTTTACAGTGGGGGAATGAGGGACTACAGTAGATTGTTTCCAGAAGCTGAGAGAATATATAGTCCAGGAAAATTTAATCACTGGGATTCTGCTAGGAGTTTTTTAGTTGGTGGAACTGTCAAGGAAATATTGTGATGACAGGAATGTAATATAATCCTTAGAGCAGACTGGAATCTGGCTTTGAATGGTGCCTCTTAGCCTCTGGATTGAGCCAAACATTTGGCTTAGCAGCCAGTTACTCATTCCCACTGCTGGGACAAGGGACTCTGGTTTCACTAATGACCATGTCGCATTTCTCTCTGAATGCTTCATGGTAACCGGAGGGAAATTTTAGAGGAGAGGTGCATGTGTGCCAGTGTATAACTACTGAAACAGTCCTGGTGCATCTGAAAATGGTTCAAGAAAAGGGAAAAGAGGAATTAGAGCCTCTGGATTATTCATGGAAAACAACACATGATCTATCTCCTTGGAATAGCAAGCACCTGCAGGATTTAGGCTTTCCAGAATGGAAGGAAGAAAGGAAGGAAGGAAGGAAGGAAGGAAAGAGCACAGAGCAGCCTCACATTTAATGTCCTCAGCATTAAATCCACCTCCTGTAGCATTTTTAATTGGTTGCTATGTGTGACAGTACTGGGCTTTAGAAAGAGCCAAGATCATAGGTCCAGGAGTTTCCATTTCAGTTTAGGTAGATTGTATCCCCTTTGGTAGGCTATCAAGAGGTATAGAAGCCAATGATCTGGTCCTGGTCAAAAACTCACATAACTTTAACAGGCACAGACATACGTACCTGTAGAAAAATCATTTTTACAAAGCCAGCTGGGACAGTGCAGCCGGAAGCAGCAGCCTTGCTGGTACTCCTGCCTGTGCATGGTCCTTCCTGCTGTAGCACTGCCTGCTTTGGAGATTCCACTTTTGGATCAGGCTAATACAGGGATGGAAGCTGAAGAGTTATTAAAAGATAACTTTCTATATTTGCAAGCTTATATTCTGCTATTACACCATTAATGAAATAGAAGACAATCACTGTGGATTTATCGCATTTCAGGACTCAATAAAGAACAGGAGAAGATTAATAAGCCAAGAAGGAACTAAACATGACTGGGAATTTTACTTTGAGACTTCTGGTTACCTTTATAGAGATGATGACCGAAAACCAGGACAAGTTCTGAAACAGATTGAGGCTGACAAAAGCAAGCTATGGAATCTGTAACAACTGCTGAAAAACCTGAGATGCTCTGCTGCTCCACCTCTGTCCCCAGTGGCTCTTGTGCAGATCTGTCTGTGTTATGTGATATTCAACAGGTACTTCATTTTCATCTGGCCATAGAAATAGACCTTTCCCCTGAAGAATCTCCTTATTTGCTAGAGTCTTCATTACCTTAGAAAATGTGGGGCAGCCATTTCATTTCTTTATGTTGTCAATTTACTAACAATATTTAGACTTTTTTTAGTTATGAAACAAGCACAGGCCTTTTACAAAAGGTTCTAATACCACAGATGAGTACCACATGCGACAGCATGGCATCTCTTTGGTCTGGTGTCTTTTCGCAGTCCCTAGAGATAAATGCTATTAACACAGATAAACATGGTTGTTTGTAAGTTGTGTTAGAAATACACCATTCATACACATATGTGCATGTAGATGTATACATACATGTTCACACACATTCATATATAGAAACATGTTTATTTGTATACATATATGTGTATATATACTACATACATTCTGCATAGGTTTAAAAAAGAGTAAAACTTTTAAAAGCATGCTAATCATCTATGTATGTATAGTAACACCAGCAAAACTAGGTAAGGTAACAGAATTTTCATTTGATTTTTGATCCCACCATCACTGAATTTCATTTTATCTCTGCATTGATGCCATTGCACATTTGTTATAGCCTGTGTCATAAAATCCATGACCAAGAGTTCATGTTGTGTATGTTCCTTTCCATGAAGCATGAAACCTACCTTTGCTGTAAGACTGGCCCATCCTGCTTTTGGATGAGTAGAGAAAGGAGAGTTCTTTCCTCTGTGACTCTCAGACCACACTCAGTAGTTTGTCTAATGATAACTGATGAGGACAAGCTACTGTAGGGAAGGGGTGTCACATGGATAGGGTCTGGAGTCTGGGTAGCCATTACTCATCTCTTGTTGCACTTTTCTAGTCACAGTGACAGTCTTGTTCCTGGATGAATCCTGCTAATACTGTTAGTAATTGTGTCTTACAACTGCCAAGATCTCCCTTGGATATTATAATCAAAATGAATCACAATGACATTTCTCCCTGGAGCAAGTGTCCATGTTGCCCAAAAGGCAAGTGCTTAGCCACTGATTTGGTCATCTTATGGGTTAAGGACAAGCTTGATTCTGAGAAGTAATCTAGGAGGGTTAGCACATTTCTGTTCTAGTCACATGAGAGGTCACCATCATGGCTGATGTTTCCACATCAGGTGAATAAGCAGTATGCCCTCTTGACATTACCTGGAGGACTGCTTCTATATGTGCTATACCCTGGGGGCTTCTGTGAATTTTAGACCATCTCTCCACAGTTTAATGAGAAATGACAACAACAAAAAAGATGCAAGGACTAGTAGTAACCTGGACAACTTACTCTCCCATGACATTGAGATTCGTTAAAGTGGTCCCAAAAAGAAAGCAGAAAAATATAATTATTAGGTTATGAAAACAGATATTTTATACTAGAAATTTTAAATTGGGAGATGTCTTGATAAATTTCAGAGTCTTTTTATACATGCCTGCAGTCATTGTGCATGCAATCATATGTTCATGAATTGATCATATTTGCATGTATTTAATCATTTTTAATAAAATATTTATTACTCTGATACAGAGTATGCTAAGGATATAACAATGAATGCAATAGATAAAATTCTTGATTTCACCAAAGTAGCCATCAAGGAAGCATGTCGAATTCCAGTGAGACAAGGTCTGTGCATGAGAACTTCAACATCCACTGGAAGTACAACTAAGGTGTTGTTGTATTTGTCACTCATTGGTCAACAGTATTTTAGTTCTATGAAAACAATTTCAACATGTCAAGAAACAACAATATTTTGCATTTAGGTTTTGTTAGTATTGGTAATGTCCTTAAGAATGTATTTGAAACTAAGACTTTAAGATGAGACTTTGAAGCACTGCTAGAGTAAGTTCTAAGACTCATTTATCACAGATCTCAAGGACAAAACTAGGAATAATAAGCAGAATTTGCAGTGGGTTTGGATTAAATATAAAAATGAAGTATAAATTGTCAAAGAGTGCAGTGGGCCTCCTTACAGTGTCATAATTTTGAGCTCATGGGGGCATGTAAGCAGAGGATATGAGACCATTTTTAGTGTGCTTTTATTGTACGGACCTGTGATCTCAGGGGGCTGAAATTAGATGTTATTTCCTGTAAAGTTTATTTTTAAAATTCCTTTGTTGAATTGCAGGATTTCATTTTAGAAATTCATAAAAATTTTGATTTAAAAAAAATCTTTAGAACATTATTTTATACATGAGAAGCTGTAAAATCTTAGAGGAAAATGCCTTTGCTTATCATTTAATAATTTTAAAACCACCTAAGCATGAATTGAGAAGGTAGCAAAAAGAAAACATACTAGAAGGTTAACTTAATTCAAAATACTTCTGGAAGCATTATGGATTTTGATGAATGTTCATAGGCATTCTCAAGTAAAATCCTATTAGAAATCTGTCCAATATGAAAAAGTGCTATGATTTGCTATTTACTAGAGTTCTGTATAGTCTAATATAATCACAGAAGAAATTTCTGCATAAAAGATAAAGATCTTTAGAAACCAAGCTATGTACATGAAGAGCAATCATGGCAAATGCTCTGGCTTCTGCTACCAGCGTGGTAATACAAGGAAATACCTAACCATGGAAGTAGCAAAATGCTGTATCAGTCTTTCTCCCAGCTTCAAAAGTTCCAACATCTAGAGCTAAATGACATCTGAAATGGAAGCCTTTGGTAGCAGCAACTATAGAAACTATCTTGTTTCTCAGTCCGTTGGTGAAACATGCATATAGCTTTCAATATAAAATAGCTTAAGCAACTAAAATCTATGCTGTTTATTAACAATCTCTATAATTTTAATTGGTATTTCAAGGCATTTTTTACATTTTTGAGCTTTGATACAACCTCATAAAGTGCATACTGCAGATAATGCCTTCTAAATGAATTAACTGAATCTCAGAGCCCTGAATTCAACTTGCACAGAGTCACATAGCAGGGGATAAGACTGCAGCTAAAACTGAGGTTGTTAGAAATTACAGACCAGGGCCAGGGATTTAGCTCAGTGGTTCTGCCGCCTGCCTTGCGAGCACAAGGTCCCAAGTTCAATCCCCGGTACAAAAAAAAAAAAAAGAAATTACAGACCAAAATGCATAAAATAGATGTATTCTAGGTAAATAATTTTCCACCATTGCTTTTAATGATATTTTACATCACTGGTTCAGATTTCCATAATAAAATGATTTCCCCATGAAAAGAAATATCAGCCCACAGCAATATTTGTTTAGAACTGAGGGTGAACATGAAATTAAAAAAAAAAACCTGGAGTTTTTATTTTCAGAGAGAAGCTTACCAACTTAGATATACTTCAAGGGCAGAAAGGCCAAGGGTTTGGACACCATTGTGGATTTCATGAGAAGAAATTAACAAAGGTTTTAGTGTCTCTTCTGCATAATTTGTCACTCTCAACATTTAAAAAGTATGAGTACTGTTTTCCCTCCTTGGAAAAATATTGGAATGATGCTATTTCAGAATGTTGCACCAGAAGATGTTGAGGAGATCCTGCCATTCCACAGTATTACTGTCCCTGGCTGGATACACAAGGGAAGTGTATCATACAGTTACATACATATAGCTCTAAATCACCTATGGGAAATGATGTTGCATTTGAGGTTAAAAGAACAATATTCTCCCAATCTATATCTCATATTTTATCAGGTTTTCTATGGTAGATTGGTGAACATGTAGAAGAGGTGTTTGATGTGGAAAAAAGACAACTTTGTAAGACTGGAGAAGGCAGATTAAATAGCACTGTTAGATTCAAGTTATATAGGGCAGATGATTTGTGCAATTAAAAATGACAGAAAATAGGGCAGGGGATTTAGCTCAGTGGTTTTGCTGCCTGCTGCGCAAGCACAAGGACCTGAGTTTGATCCCTGGTACCAAAAAAACAAAACAAAATGACAGAAAAGAAGAACAGACATGAAAAGTAGGTAAGAGAATCTACATTATTACATAAGAATTTATTTTTTCCTAAAGATTGCATCAAGAAAAATTTATTGGCCTTCCTCAAAAAGGGTAAGTTTACCACTGCTAGTTTTTTCTACTAGTTAAGTAATTATTGAATAGCCAACTCAAGGAACATGTAAAAGCAAATCTTTAATTGTGAAGGATTTTGGACTAAAAACATTCTATAATATCCCAGGTTTATTTTTGTGCTCTTCAACTAAAGCTGACCTCAGATCCCGTTTGCTCCCAGGTTCCTGCCAAACAGATGGCAATGAAAGCATTTTATAGAAACAGTCATTGGAAATATAACCTGGATTATTTAAAGGCAGGGATCATGATCTTAAAATTTTCTTTGTTTATACAAACACACACTTGCACACACACACACAGACACACATGTGCACACATGCACATTTTGCCAATTGCTAGCCTGTCCTCAAATCTGAAAAAGGTATGTTTCTACTGAGGCAAAAAATGTAAAAAGTCAGTAAGTAAGGTGAAAACAAAGCATCTGGTGTTCCCTTCTCTACTTAGAGTCCACTTGGTTGGGGTCTAAAGTTATGATTGGGAGCAGAAGAAAGGACTGAGGATTTCTCTATGTTCTGGTAATAAAGAGGCAGGAAGACACTTTCTACATCTTTTCATCATTAAATAAGACTTCGGTTCATATGACTAAGCTGACATTTGCATAATATTTCTTTGTAAGAGGATTACAGTTTGAATTGCTTATCCTCATTCCTCGGTTTTGAGTTGAATGGATGGAGAAGTTACTCTAGATAATGGTTCCATCTCGAGATTCCTACTCAGAGAACGTGTCCCACTTCACTTCCCCTTCTCCCTCACCTCATTTCTTGCTTCTGGCTTAGGAAAGAAAAGGAGTTATGAGGGAAAGAGAAAATATTCTCAAGATAAATACAATAATATTACTCCAGTATTAACACAGTTTCACCTGGCAACTCACAAATGATATATATCCTAAGTAAACATTGGTTCCCATGAAAATCAAATTCATAGAAAGCAAATAAACTTACTGAGCGTGGCTTTAAAGAGCATTAGTTGAAAAATTTTAATTTGTGCAACTTAGAAAAAATGAGATTTTGTGTGGAACTACAGGGAGCAGAATCAGCAAATGGAGAAACTTTCTAACAAGGCTTCTCAAGAACTGAGCTGTGTTTTGAGAGTTTCCCCAATAACTCAGAGCAGGTTAGACCTGTCCACAAACTTGTGCTGGTCCAAGATAAAATTTGAGAAGAATAAGGACAATATAAGGAGTTTTCCCACAACTCTAAATATATTTTCTTATTTAAAATTCAGAGATCATGACTTTGTTATTTTGGAGTTGAAATATAATGATTTAAAAAAAAATTACAGAGACATAAGAGATGCTTGCAAATGGTCTTGTAAAAAACAAGAACAACAACAAAAATAACAGCCCTAAGTCAGTTTACTCTACTTTTTGTTTCAGATTTTATAAGTAATTCACAGAAACATTGTAGAGACTTATCACATCTGAGATGCCTTCCAGCCTTGATACTTTTTGCTCATTGTGTATGAATTCAGATGGTTCCTGGCCTTTTGGGTTTAATTAACAATAACACTTTTCATTTGCCACTGTCTCCGCCCCTCCATGGTTGGATTGAGGCACTAACCACATGCATACATCATTTCCAGTGCAAGTAAAATTTGGATGCCTGCTAACATCCTGATTGTGGGTTGGGAAAAGGGAGGTTCTTACTGCCCTGACAAATGAGACAGAACTTTCACAGTCAAAATATTCTGATGCAGTAGAATATTCTGTAAAGCATCATTGAGAAGTAAGCTTCAAGTTAGCATCTATAAGTGTTAGTTTGGCTGTTTTTGAAAATTGTCAATGGTTGATTGGGCAACCATGAATATATTATATGCACCACAGCTGATTGAAAGTGAGAAAAACCCATTTCTGTGAGGACTGTAGGGAAATCTCACTTCCATCAGAATGATGTATGTGCTTCCTGAGTGGGAAAAAGCTCCTAGACATCCAGAGTACAGTTTGCTGTGGAGAGGTCACTTACAAAGCCCACATCTGAAAAGAGAGTTGCAGTGCCATTATAAAGGGCTTTTTCCTGATTCTGAGTCTGCCCTATCACATTCCAGAGCCATATGCTTTTGCAAAGCTGCCAACTGGCAGGTGGAATCTCTAAAACAGTAGCAGCCGTGACAGTAGAGAGAGGAAGTTTTATTTCCAGGTAAAATGGGATCCAGATAATATGAAGTGGAGGGAGGGTGGGTGGGAAGGGTGGGAAGGGAAAGGGAAGAATGAAGTTTTTTGTAACAAAGTCATAAAGTATTTTTCCCTAATTTTCTTGCATTTCCTATTTATATAAAGAATCTTGATCACTGTGTTGCTCTATACAGATTTTCAATGGAACTAATTTGGGAGACTGAGCTAATCTCTGAAAATTGACTAGTTACAGTTACTTTTTGGACACTTTTTCTGTATTGTGAATTGTGTGGAAATGTACAGAATAAAATGAAATATAATTAATTTGTTTTTATTCTTCTGTGTCTGCTAGATATGGATGTGAATACTATCCTTAACTATAGTTACATTAGCTATTCAAAATAGGAGCAAAGAGAGTTCGCTATTAGGGCCGACAGGGACTAAACAAGGTCTCCAATAAAGCAGAAATATTTTAGATAAACTTCTGTTTCCAAAGTGGACTAATGACGTAAGATTTATCCTCCTGCCCCTCCCTATCTGTCTGTCTGTCTGTCTGTCCATGTATCTATGTATGTATCTATGTCTATGTATGTACCTATGTATGTATCTATCTGTCTATCTCTGCTATCTATCTAGAAGACACTGATCCCTAATAAATGAGGATCAAATGAGATAAACCCTATAATTACCCCCATTTTACAGATTTCTGACTTCTCAGACAGTAATTCCAGCAGGACTAATTCAGACAGGTCCTGGCAGATATTCTTAGTTGAAGAGACAGAGCTGATCGAGAAATAATACAAGCAAGAAGATAAGGGAGCAATATCTTTAAGGTGCTGAGAGAATAAAATAACTATTAAATTACAATTCTTTAGTAGCAGAAATATCTAGAAAATTAAATGCAAAATGAACAATTTTACTGATATAAAAGCTAGAAAAATTAACAACTAATCTGCACTATAAAAAATGTTAAAGGAATTCCTTCAGATGAAGATCTCTGTCTATACACATGAATGAGGAGACTGGACTTGTATTTGGGTCAATATATATGATATTTTCTTAGCAGTGAAATATACATAAAAGATAAATGACTAAACAAAAAATAGACAATATTTTGTGGAATTTACAAGTAAATGATAACAATAGCTTAAAAGTATTAAAGGGAGAAATGGAAGTATGTAACTGTAAGATTCTTATGCTGTCCATGAGTTGGCATGGTGCTATATAACTGACAGATGGAAAGGCCAGGAGGTGCCATTATTTAAAAACCGGCTCCCAACATAATTCAGCCACAGCATTCAGTGAGTGCTGAGACAGACAAAACAAAACACTGACTGCTGCCAGGTGTCTTCATTGAAGATGGTAGAGGAAGGAGTTCTAAGGTTGGAATTTGGTCCCTCTGCTAAAACAATAATTAGCCTGTAAGGAAAAAAATGACCTGAATCAACTACTTCAGAACTCTGCAACCTAATCAGACACAGAAACCAAGGGAGTGTTTGGTGAAGGGAGATGCTACTGAACTTTGGCATTGGTAGGAATCTCTGTTGGGTCACAGGACAGTGACCTTCAGGAGTAATGGGCAGTGAATTGTAAGTGACCACATACAAGGGATACAGACTACAAAGTTAGTTTGGCAAATTCACCATTAAAAAGACTACTACAACAAAAGTAGTCCCTGAGAAAATCTGATTTCCAGAGTTACCATATTATATAACTAAAAATGTCCAGTTCTCAACAACAAAATTGTAAGCATTTTAAAAATGACTCATTCACAGGGGGCAAAAAAGAATTCGACCAAAGCTATCTCTGAAGAATCCCAGGCATCTTCGGCCATACCACCCTGAACGTGCCAGTTCTCGTCTGAAGAATCTCAGGCTTTAGAATTAAAATTTCCTAGCTAACACTATTA